CTTGCCACCAGAAGCCAAAACCCATCTCACACTCTCTCCCCTTTGTAGTCCCCAACAGAATGTCTGGACGAGAAAACTTGACTCCGGGGCCCATCAGCACCGGGCTTGGAGCACCTGAGGGTTCACACCTGAAGCAGTTCACATCAGCTAACGGAACAATGAACACGTCTCATTATTTCATGGTGTAAACCGCTCGGGATTTAATGGAAACAGGTGTTATGAACAGATCACATGATACAAAAGAACAAGACCAGGCGAGGGTACATTTAGGAACATACTGCTCTGTCCCAAAGGGCGGGCAGAAAAGGTTAAGTAAGGCACAGAGAAGGCTGAGCTGTCGAGGCAGGCTGCACAGGGAAAAGGCCATCTGCACACTTGTGTAAAGACACGCACTCACACACACGCATGCACACGTGCACCTGGCCCATCCATCAGATAAGGCACTCACCTGGAATCAAAAGAGTCACCAGGACCGAGATTGACTGGGCTGGGACTTGGGGAGAACTGGGCTAAGCAGTTCAGTGGGTTACATGTCTCCAAGAGAGCACAAGGTGTGGCAACGGCACCCATCCCTCGGCCCGGACACGCCAACCGGCTGGGGAGGCCTCACAGCACACAGGCCTCCTCTCTGCACTGATGTGACGGAACAAAGTCCCTGCTGCTGGAGGCAAACCCACCTTGAACCACTAGGGGCGCTCACTCAGAGAGGGGTGGGCGCTAAGGGGCTCTTAGACTCCAGGTGCCCGCTGGCTCCTGTTCCCGCTGGAAAGTGAAGACCAAGTACAGGCCTGTGCTGAGCTGGGGCTTGCCTCCTTCCGGCAGGAAGGCCCAGGGAGCAGCTGGGAGCTGCCACTGGGCAGTGCCCTCCTCTTGGGCTCAGCTCACCTGGGAAGATCAGGAGCCAGTGTGGCCAGAAGGGCAAAGCTGGGCCACAGCAGCAGGACCCACATCAAACCTTTACAATGCACTTAAGGCAAGACGGTCGCCTGTCACATGGCTCAGGCCTCAGGCTGGCTGGCGAGCCCTGGCGCCATCTTTGGAGACAAGCCAGCGGGCTTGGAGGTAAACACAGGGTGTTTCCTTGAGTTGCCCCAGAGCTCACTGGTGTCTCCAAATCCAAACAAATGAAACAGCAAACAAGACCCAGATCATCATGGGAGAAATGGTGGCCTGAGCGGCTCAGTGAGGGGAGTCACTCAGACAAAGAGCTTTTTCTGGGAGCTTTCCATAGAGCAGGGCATGTGGGTCTTGGGGGGGCTTGTTCCTCACAGGAAAGCCAACGGCCAGCACAGTGAGGACAGGCTAACAAAAGGCACTTTCCTCCCGGCTGGAGCCTCTCCTACTTGCAGGATCTGAAGATCCCACCGGCCTGCCCGCTCCCACCAGTCCAGCAGAGATCCCCAGCCCAGCAAGACACGCCTGGGGTCACAGAAGGTGTATGGGGAACTCACTGTCTCAATTCCCACCTTGGTCCAGTCCAGGGAGGCTCTCTACCCTCCAAAGCACGGCCCCACCTGGCAGGGGGCGGAGTGCCAACAAAAGGAATGTGGGGACGTGCCACCAAAGTCCCAGGGAAGGACCAAAGGCACAGACTGGACCTGCAGGTCCTGAGGCCTATTCTTGGCCACTTGTCACCAGAGACACCACCAGCTAAGGCAGCATCACGCACTCAGAGCAGGGGACACTGTCCACCTTGAGTGGGGCACGAAGGGGTCTGTGGGTGTGAGGGGTGGCTGGGCCTGGAGTCCAGAGGAAGCAGGGAGGCTGTATGAGGGCCTTGAGGGGGCACCTCCGGCCCCACAGGCCCTGGCAGCACCCCGGGCCCCAAAGTCACTGTGCCATGGTCTGAAACACCAGCAGACCCTGAGCAACACGGGTGTCCCTGATGCGCACAGACCTCTGGGGACTAGCTCAGCCCAGCCGTCCCTCGGGGAGGACAGGGCAGGCCGGCTCCCAGGGGGCCTCCGTGCGCCCTCCTTTGCCTGCACGGGCCCCTCAGCCCTGCTCCAGGCTGTCGGTTGCCTGCACCACGCTGTAACTTCCCTGGCCCATGGACAGCTGCCGGCTGAAGAAGGACGTGGTACGCTTTGGCTTCACCCGCTTGATCTCCTTGCCTGTGAGGGGACAAGAGAAACGCACTGAAAAGTGACTCCTTCCAGAGCCCGTTCACCCCTGCCATCCGTCGAAGCCTCAGTCCCCAGTGCCAACACTGTGCCCCCAGTGACAGGATGGATGGGCGTGTGGCCAACCTCAGAAACGGGAAGCAGGTTTGCAGTGAAGCTCGGCTGGCTGTGGGGTTTGAGGAGCTTCTGCTAAAACTTGTCCAAAAAGGGCCGGGAGGCCACATCTTCTGACCTCCTTTAACTTCACAGGATGAAGCCGGACTCGCCATCAGCAGCCCGAGGCTGATTCCTATGAGGCCAGACATGCCGCCACCCTCCAGCCTTTTTACCAATTCAGACACCGACCGTCCCTCCCACAGCACTATTTCTCTGCTGGGTTTGGTAATTCATTGCAATGGCCACACAGAATTCACAGACAATACTCATGATCACAGGAGCTCTGGTAGCATAGTGCCTAAGGCACTTGACTGCTAACCAGAAGGCTGGCGGTTCAAACTCACCAGCCTCTCCTCGGAAGGAAGGTTGGGCAATCTACTTCCGTAGTGATACCACCTCGGAAACCCAAGGAGGGGTCGCTATGAGTTGGGTCTGACTCGACAG